GTGTCCAGATAAGGGTGGGCCCACCCCTATGAGCTGTCGTGTGGGCCCCGCTCTGCTGCTGCTGCCGGGTGCGTGCGCGCGGCTCATGGTGCTGCTGCCGCGCGGTGCGTGCGTGCAGTGCTGCTGCCGTGCAGTGCATGGGCGCACGGCTCATGGTGCCGCTGCCGTGCGGTGCGTGCTGCCGTGCGGTGGGCGCTGCTGCCTGGCGGTGCGTGCTGCGCGCCATGGTGCCGCTGCCGGGCGTGTCCGCGGTGCGTTCTTCCATGCAGTGCGCGCTGCTGCCTGGCGGTGCCTGCTGCTGTGCGTGCTGCTGCCTATGACTGCGCTGCCGGATGGTGTGACCATAACACAAACCTCCTTTACTTTTCGGAGAGCACACCTTCTCCCAACTCACCAAGTGGATTTTCTTCCTATCCTCCTCCCAACCTTTCCATAAAAAGTCCCTTTGCAGCCTCTCAATTCTTTGGGCCACTTTGCTTGGAATTGGGAATAAGCAGAGATAAAATGCTGGCAAGTTGGATACGGAGCTTTTTAACAGGGTAATTTTGCCCCCCAAGGACAAATATTTAGCCTTCCAAGTTGCCAATTTCTTTTCTAGCTGCTCTAAGACTGGTTCCCAGATCAATGCAGAAGTGCATTTTGCTCCTAGTGGGAGTCCCATATACTTTGTTGGAAGGAACCCCACCTGACAAGCTAATCTCTCTGCCAAGACCTCTGCATTTTCCACTTTTCCCACTGGGATCAAACAGCTTTTACTCCAATTAACTTTCAGTCCTGTCACCACTTCGAACCAGCTTAGAATTCCCATTAATAGGTCTAAGTGTTCTTCATTGGCTTCCATAAAACATAAGGTGTCATCTGCAAATTGCAGTACCTGAACCTTCTCCCCTCCTGGCACCACCTCAAAGCCCTTCCACCACCCCCTCCCCTGTTTTTTGAATGAAAATTGTAAGTATTTCCATCACACAAATGAACAAAAGAGGGGAGAAAAGGTCTCCCTGTCTGAGCCCCTTAGAATTTTTAAAAAAGCCTATTGATTGGCCATTTAGGATGACTGAAAACTTAGGAGAGGTGACAAAAACTTTTATCCAGTTCCCCCAAGTCTGCCCAAAATTCATTTTATCCAACACGCAGTCCAAACATCTCCAATTGACATTGTCATAGGCCTTGTCGAGGTCAAGTTTGCAAAGCAAGCCTGGATTTCCCTCCCTTAACCTTGAATCAATTAATTCATTGGCTACCAAGACACTGTCCATCATTTGACAACCGGGGACAAACGCAAACTGATTTTGAGAGATCACACTTGGCAACACCTTTTTCAACCTCTCTGCCAAAACCTTGGCCAAAATCTTATAGAAGCTGTTCAGGAGGCTAATAGGTCTGAAATCCTTCAAGTTTGTAGCTCCTTCAATTTTCGGGATCAAAGAGATGAATGTGGCATTTAGGCTTCTTTCCAATGAGGCATTCCTATGGAATTCTTGGAAAAGCTGCATCACATCTAATTTCACCACTTCCCAATAGCTTTTGTAAAATAAAGTCTGTCCGGACCCGGGGACTTCTCTGGATCTAGATTCTTTATCACCTACCAAACTTCCTCTTCCGAAAAAGGAGCTTCCAAGCATCTTTGTTGGTCCTCAAAAATTCTTTTGAAATTAACTCCCTCTGGCAGAGGTCTTTTTTTCCATTCTTCCTTAAAGAGCTTCGCGAAGAAATTTATAACCATTCTTTCCTTGTCTATCCAACTTTTCAAAGAAACTCATGATGTCATAACTGAATAATAAATATTTAAAAAAAAGATAGAACACCAAAAATGAAAATGTATAGAATTCTTTCGAAAACATTTGAGAACATTTTTGGTATTATATATTCATCATATTAAATAAAAATAATTGTTAAAATAAAAGTTATTTTTAGTTATGATAAAAATGCAATACAAAATTTTACAACAACAACAACAATAATAATAATAGTAATAATAATAATAATAATAGTAATAATAATAATAATAATAATAGTAATAATAATAATAATAATAGTTGTTATTTGCTATAAGCATTTAAGTTTATTTTTAACCATATTGTTACTTTTGTTAATTTTCAATTTTATCTTAACTATGATATATCTAAAATTCAAGTAATTAATATGAAGAAAATTTTCTCACATGCAACGCATGTGCTTAATTACTAGTAAATAAATAAATAAAATTGATGTAAAACTTAATCTTCTTCTCCATCCAAGTAAAAACTTGTTTCATCTCCTCTCTTCTTCCCATTGGATATGATACAATGGTCACCTTGCATCTACCTTCTCTACCATCGGTGACAGATAACAATATTCCAGTTCCGGTTTAGAGCTCTCTCTCTCTCTCCATCTTTCTCTCTCATCTCTGCAGAAACAGATGCAAGCATGGAGAGACTGAGCTGTGGCACTCTAAGCTATTCATCCTGCGAGGAAACCATTTCAGTGCACAGCTTTAATGGTAGATTTCAGTTTACATCTTCCGTCATGCCCACCCAATAGGAGCCTCTTTGCGTCGTTGGTTACCAAACGAAGTGGATGCAAATGGGTCTGATAATTCAGTCCCCATTTGCATTCACCTAAACTGGTGCATGATTGATTTCCACCGTACATATTTGCATTTACACCTCAAACAAGCGCAGTTGAATGATTTTTTAGAATTTCATTTATTATGTTACTCAACCATCCCCACTACAGATTCATCAGCAGTTCTGTAGGGATGAGCTAATTAGGAATCTGAGGATTGCCCCTCATCTGGGTTAAGGAAAGTTTGAGTTAACCCAATAACTGAAGAACCAAAATCATTTCTCATGGGTGAAAACAAGTATAGTCCTTGTGTAGTTGCACACAACTACTGTACAGAAGCAGGGTTGGTTCCTATATTCAACCAGATAAAGCCTTACATCAATCATACGAGGCATGATACATGTGAGGCATTATACATGCTTGCTATTCTCCTCAAGGATCAATATTTCAGGCTTATGTTCATGGAAAATATATTTATGCTGGTTTCCAAACTCACAATCTCCTTTATCCAATCTTGGGATATGCAGTGCAGGTCAAGCTCATCACTAGTTAGTTGTCCAGTTAAAGCTATACATTGATTCTCATTATTAGACCTAAGGCTGGCCCATGGTGCCATCAAGGAAAACTGAGCCTAGTCCGGAGTGTTTTTTGGCTTGTATTATATGTTCTTTATTTTTTTTTCTGCTTGTGGTTTGTCATAATTCTTCAAAGTTTATTCCATGAGCCATCTTGTTTTCTATGTTTCCTAATATAAATTGATGACTGCAGACTAAGAGCGACCTTGTAGAGGCAGTCAACCGGGACCTGAGGAAGATGCTTATAAATCCAAACGCAGAGGACCCCTTTGTTCTTGGCGTTAGAGTATGGCCACAGGCCATTCCCCAATTCTTGACTGGTCATCTGGATCTTCTTGAAGCTTCCAAAGTTGCTCTTGAGAGTGGTGGATTTCAGGGGCTGTTTCTTGGTGGCAACTATGTGTCTGGTGTTGCACTGGGCCGATGCGTAGAGGGTGCTTATGAAAGTGCAGAGGAAGTGTCTACTTTCTTGTCCAAGTATTTGTGTAAGTGAAATCATGTTGGATAGAGGCGCGTCTTTAATTTTTTTTTTTGTTTTTGGCAATTGGGTATAAAAGGATATGGTCGGGTGAAATAAGAGGACAGGAGAAGTTTTGGGCAGTATCAATTTTGTGAGACGGATTATGTTGTTTGTCTTATATTGGTTTAAGCCAACGACCATAATTACCTGTCTAGAATTCACCTTGAATGTAATCATCTCAGTTTTGATTTGGTAGAACTTGAATCCACACCTGCTTCATCCAAAATGACATCATTTTTATTATTGTCCACTTAATCAGATCTAAGTGGAGTCACTGGCAGAATATTCGTAAAACTAGAAACCAGTTTATATTCTAAGCCGGTCATTTTCCATTTTATTGGAACTACTATAACCTTATTTGGATTTTCAAGTATGAGCTCAAGAAGTCATCATCTACCAGTGCCTAAAAGTCACTCCAAGCGTTGAGCTGTTTTACAAGCCATGTGAAAATCATTCTAGTTTGAAGGAACTGCTTCAAGTGTCACATGGGCTTGGCCCCAGAATGAACAAATTCTAGTTTAGCCACCCATGTGTAATTAATGTTTTGGCAGTAAGGTCGTAGAACATGATAAAAGTATGTAAAAAGAGGTCTAGTCTGGGCCACAATATTGATTCTGCCTGTAATGCCAGTTAGTTATTTAGGCTGTGTTTGGTTGCAATGCAAATAAATTTGCACTGATGCAAAACCATGGCAGTGTAAATGATTTGAGTGTAAATTCTGACCTATTTTTGTTTCAAATTTTAGTTTATTTTGTTTGATTGTAGTACGAATGAAGTAAATTAAAACATGAAACAGAACAAAGTAAAATCCAAAACAAAATTAAACAAGAATTTACATTTTTTTTTTTTTACATTTGCAATTTCATGCATTTGTACCAGTGCAAAATTTGCACTGCAACCAAACATAAGAGTACAAATACAAATTTCCAGATTTCCAAATACATACAAAATGAGACAAAATATAAGATTTTGCACTCTATATATTTGTATTTGAACTTCAAAAGTGAGCCTTAGATCTTTTAGTCTCTTTTGAAAATAAAATTCCTTGAACCAGATGGTTGATCTAAACCACCACTCCAGCCTGAGGTGCTAAGGTGCCCAATATGGGGTACTGTAGAACTTTGGAAACTGGTTAGAATGCGAGATGGATTTATTGGCCCATCACATGCTTCAACGTGTGGCTTTTGTTTGCATTCTGAAATCCAAAACATTGCATATTCGATTTCTTGCTTTGGTGGATGGGTTGCCTTCTAATCGAGTCTGTTTGGTGAGGTTACGTAAACAACCTATTAATCTTCTGCAATCTGCATTGCAACTTTAGGGGGGTGTTTGTCTGTACATATGATTTTGTTTCTTAAAAGTTCAAGCAAAAACAACTGTCACATCAGCAAGCTACAATATTTGTTGTGTTGAAAATATAAAATCGTACATATTGGCGAACAACCTCACTTGAATTTCAAGTCTCCCTTTTCTTTTTTTCTCACATTTTGGGAAAGAAAAAATCGACAGTACTCCAATACAATAAACTTTGGCAACAATGTTACGTGTTAATTAATTGGAGACATATTTCATCACGGTGGGTCCCCCATACTTTCTGGATATCCCACATCATTTCTCAACGTGACAGAAATAGGTAAAAGGTGTGTAGAGAAAGGCCGTACTTGCCCAATTTGGAAATCGTTTTTTTTCCCTTTATTCCCCTTATTTTATTATAAACATTTCTTCAATGTCTTATAGTCTTTATATTATCTTATGTTATATGGTTTCATACCCCGACATTGCCCCGGCTTAGCTCTATAAATCTATTAACTATTTGACGGGTTCAGGTTAGTACCCAAAGCATGCTGAAGCTGTTGATGAGATCCCCATTGACATTCCCTAGTTTATGGGTCCTGTAGACTGTAATGAAGCCCTAGACCTAGACTGATGCAGCTCTGCTTTGCCAAATTGCCATTATTTAAAAAAGAGAAAAGCTTTCAACTGTTGGTGTAAAATCCAAAGAAATTAAACGGGCCCATGCCCATGCGCCTCCCTACGGGGTCAATTGGACTGAATTGGGTCTAATCCGATCCGGTCCAATGTGAGTCCATTACAAATGGACCAGGTTCAATCTACTCCAATGAATATTTTGGACCGGTCTAATTCAATGTTTGGACCTTTTTAATCTATTCAAATTTGTTTTATTTAGATTAGTTCTAACTCAAGCCTGGTCCATTGACACCTATATTCTTATCTTCTATCAATAGACTAGATATTGACTCAATTCAACCTAATCCAATATAAATGCATTACAGATGGACCAGGTCGAATCCAATCCAATATGTCTTGCTGATCCATCCAATCTATCTAAATTGATTTTGATTTGATTGGGGTCCAATCCAAAACCAGTCCATTGACACCCCTACTCCCAAGCAACTCATGGGAAACTAACCAGCTTGGTGCTTGACTGTGGGAATCCATCAACTGTATTACCAAGTTTGACTAAGAATAAAAGTTCTAGCAAATAAAGGGGGTAAACCGAACCCCAAGGATTAGACATGATGAAACCAAATGGAATCCACAGCTTGGGAGAGAAGAAAGTAAAGAAAGTGAAAGAGAGGTTTCTAGTGGGCTTTATGAAATTGCAGTTATATTATTAAAATAAAAGCAATGTACGGGAGTATGGGGGGCAATGTGATGAGATGTTGGGAGGGTGGTCCATAGGGGCCTGGACAATGGGCGATGGGGCGCCTCCTACGATGCTTCTTTCTGGCTTCCTCCCCTTAACTTGACATTTCAAACTAGTCCCCCTCTCACTCTCTGTGGTCTCGGGTCTTTGGGTATTTGGATGAGAGAGAGACAGATATGCTTGAATTGTACACAAAGTGCATTGCGCCACAAATTAAAATTGAAGTCATTGGAGCAAGAGAAAGATGGGCAAGGGAAGCAACATAGGGGAGGGGAAACAACTGACTTTACTTTCTTTCCCTTGTTTGTTATAACCCAAATCTTCTCCACACCATCTGAGCTTTCTTCAGGAGCAAGCTAGACAACTTGTTTCCCCTTATATGGGAAATAGGGAACAGAAGAATGTAAGGGAATTTTGACCCGTTTAAAGGTGGCTTGTTTTGGCTCATGACTCATCTACTTCTAGAATTAAAGCACGCGCTATCCTGTTAGATATGAAGCTTCAGTAGGAAGAGAATGAATACCTTTACTAGTAAGGCCACAAAGCAAAAGCATTTGAGGGATTAATAATATACTGCGTGAATTTCATTAACATCCCTCAACTTTCTGATCTTTTGATCGTATCTTCTATCAAACCAAACACAGCCTAGTGTAAAAGTTGTTGAAGGGTTGTGTATTCACAATATCACATGGGCGGAACAAAGCACTACTGGAACTTGGAATGGTGCTGATCAGTGAATTAATTTGAACCCCCTTGGCTTTCAGAGGCCAGAAGTCCTTTATATGTGATGGCATCTACTCTCTGCTTCTCACACGTTCATGGACCATGGTTACTGTGAAACAATGAGAGAGAGAGTACAATTCCATTTTCCCATTCCCCCCTTCCCCCATTTCAGGGATTGAGTTGAGTGCATGTCTCCTAGAGTCGCTCTCATGTCTTTCTTTTAGGAGGTGTTTGAGATTAGTTTACAGGGCCTCATTATCAGACAACCCCCACCAACAGCAACCTCCTAAGACTTCACTTTTCTAACCCCCAGGTTTCAAAAGTTCAAACCCCATGTCCCTTCTTGTCTCTTGCTCTCTCAATAACCTATAAACAACATTCTCAATTCAGTTTACTGATAAAAAAAAAAACAATATCAATCTTACCTTACAACCCCATTCTCAAAAAGTAAAATAAAAACCATTCTCTCTCTCTCTCTCCCTTTTATTTTGAGTGAGAAATTAATTTTCAGTTCATTTGCTTTTTTTTGAAGCCTAATAAGGTGAATTCATTAAGGGAACTCAGAGAGCAGTCAAAAGAAATACAATCAGAGAGAAAATTGAGGCACACCAACCAGGTGTGAACATTTTGAAGATTTAAGCCAAATTTAGCCAGGATATGGCCCACTTGATTAGGGTTCCTCGGGATAAAGCTCACTGAGCCAAGAGGGAAATTTTGGAGAAGAACTCTGCAATCAGTAATCGTGCGTTGTATCCACCATGGTGGAGAAGATAAGGTCTCCTACAGAATCTGGATTACAATGTTAGCATCACCCTCAAATAATTCCAGCAAGGCAGGGCTTCATTTGCTTCTTAAATCTGTTCAAATAACATTTCATATATATTTCACTAATGAATTACTATTGATCATTTTTTTTTTAAATTATGGATACATGCCATTTAATTAATTAATTTTTTTTATTATTCGAGTAGAGTATGCGATAGATAGATCTTAATTTTTTATTATGGTCAATATCGACCATACAAACATTATCTAGCTAAACCTCCTTAATTAATAATGTATTATTTATTTTCTTCCCTACGTGACTCGATGGAGTGATACATTGAACATTTATGCAACTTATGGTTAAAATCTAATCGAATTCATCATGGTTTCTCGTAACCCATATATAATGGTCTCGATTATCCACGACCCTGTGTCCATTAATTTCTCAAAGCCTGGAGCTCGCTAAAATCCACTACTTTCACATAAACTTCCTTCGTTGTGTTTGGCGTTGCACACACTCATATAGACATGTTAGAAAACCAAATGTTTTGAAGCTCTAACTGCTTTATTTATTTATTGTCTCAATAGTCTAAGAGATGTGGATATATACCAAACCTCCTCCTGTTACTATAGTCTATAGCAGTGTAGCTGGTCAGTCAGGCTATACAGAAAGCGAGTGTCCAGCCTTGGCTACAGCCGACAGAGTTGTTCATCTGAACTTCAAAAAGGAGATGGAGAGTTAAATGCTTACTTGTCCCTTGTCCCTAGCAAGTAGCCCCCACACACTTATCTCTATCTTACTTTTTTTTGGGACTTTCAAAGAAAACCAAACCAGCACTACTTGGATTCTCATCGACCAAAGGATTTAAAAACCAATTGGATATTGGTGTGTGTATATATATAGCTTTCAACATAGAATATCTATCTATTATCTGTTCATCAGATTAGTATAAAAGGCTATTAGCCAATGTCCCAATGTTGGTCGAAGATATCTGGGTCTTGGGAGGGGGTAGATTGGAATTGGATACAAACTAAGCTTTTGGTATTATTTTTTTTCTTTTCGAAAGTAGTTGCCTTTATACTATAACCAAAAGTTAAATGTTTGGACCCTCTAATATATTTAAATTGATTTTAATTTTGATTGGTTCCAAATCAAAGTTGGTTCATTGACATCTGTATTCTTATGTTTTAGCAATCCAATCCAATATAAATCTATTATAGATGGACCAGCTCCAATCCATTCCAATAGATATTTTGGAGCATCGAGTCTAGGCTGGTTCAGTTCAATATGTTTTGTTGGTCCATCCAATCTGTCTAAATAATATCCAAAACCAGTCCATTTGTACCCCTATTTTTATGTCACTGCAACGCATGACAAGAGTTTTATTTTCAAAGAGACTAAGAGAATGTTCTATATACACCTTGACTAGTTTGGTTTTTCATCTGTTTTTAAAATAGCAACATCAGCAAATAAAAAAAAAAAAAAGTTCTCAGCTCCACCGTACAAATGGAATGAATCCTGACTGTAGATCGATGTTAAATTCACAGACAGGATGCGATTTATAGGGGGACTACTAGTAGAGTAGGAGGGGCTGTAATTTCATATTTCTAAGGGGGAATGCAGTCTAAATATCCCTAAAAAAACAAGTTTTTAAGACAATAATATGTTTTGTAATATATATATTATATGATTTATGAAACATGGTATTAAATAACCAGATCAAAAACATGTTCCTTGAAGCAGAAATTTATTCAAGAGTGTGCTTTTTATTTGAACTTTTGAAGCAAAACCAAAAAATAAAAAAACATGTATTACTAAGAATAACAAGTTTTCTATGCTTTTGTTTTAATATAACCAATTTATTTTGCTACACGTAACAAATTAAGTAAAATTGTACAACAAACAGACTTCACGTTGAGAAAACACCCCTAAAAGAGCTAACATAAAATTGGCATTATATGTAGGCTGAGTCAATATTGTGACCCGGACAGGACCTCTTTTACCTACATTTATTACATGCTGTGCCACCTTACTGACGAGACATTCATATTACGTACACATGGTGCTTAATTAGAATTTGTTCATTCTGGGGTCAAGACTCAAGACAATCAAGCCGTGCTCATGTACCATTTTGCTTTAATTTGTTTCAAATTTTCCTCCTTAGTCCTTCGTCAACAAACTAAGAATTAATGAAAAGAAGGTATTTCATGAAACTGATTGGAAGACATCCATCTAGTGTTTGGTAACATATGCATACCTAAACATACGTAGCATCTTAGCGTGCCGAAAATAGCAGCAGATTTATTTATTTATTATTTAATGAAAGGTAAAATTCGGTCCCGGTTTCAATCAAGGGTGCGTGGCCAGTGGCCACTAGTCATTCCACATCACACACACAGAGGGAATAGTTTGACAATCAAAGTGACGAATGCACTTACTCCATCGGTTAATGAGATGCTAAACTAAACTAGTACGTTCGCTTCGCTTTGTTATTTATAAATAATAATACATATTAACTTTCTATGCGTCGGCTTAAGCCTGCCATTTTTTTTTTTTAATTTGATTGTTTGTTTGCAGGAACAGGAAGAGGAAGAAGAATGTGGTGTTAATGGTCAAATCGCAAGGTTTTATTATTTATTATTGTTGAAGAAGCAAAGATCAATTTGACAATTGTTTAATCGCAAGTTTTTATTATTTATTATCATCTCCATGTCCATTTTTTAGATACAAACTTGTACTCTTATGATAAATGATATATTTGATAAAATATTTAAGACATTTAATTTAATAATGAAACCCATATTTTGTACAAATTTCAAACAAACATAAACATAAACATAAAAAAAAAAATGAATTACTCTCTGCATTCATGAATCGAGAAAAAAAAATATATTTACATAAAATACATATGGTCCAAACTCGAAACTGAATTGAGAACGACTAAATCAAGAATATTAGCCAACCAAGCAAAGGTAGTATATATGTCATATTCATCATAAACAAACTAAACGCCTGTGGGATTCATGGGGTGCTTTGGTCTGCTCAAAGGATTCAAGGGGCCGGGCCACTAAGTTATAAACACATTCATGAAGAGGTGAGGCTACGCCCCCACCTTCCCACTCCATGACTCCAAATGAAACCATCTCAAGACCACCATCCCACTCCATGACTCCAAATGAAACCATCTCAAGACCACCACCCCATCATGATGAAGAAGGCCAAGATTGGGAATTGGGAATTGAGAATTGGGAACATCACCAATATTCATTCACCAACTACCATACTTACCACCCTAAAAAGGCTAAAAGCAGCAGCAGAGAGGCAAAGACAGTGAACAAGTTAGTCCCGGCCGTCTGTCGGTTGGTGATGCATATGGGCTGGTAGGAGTCGTCAGTCCAGATCTGCTGCTGGTTGCTACTACCAAACAAACAAAGACAATATTAATTTTTGTGATGATATCACGGCTTTGTGCCATTTGTCTTCAAATTTGTGAAATATGATAACAAGCCACGGCGTTGAGCCCCAAGTGTCGCAAAACCTTAATGTTGATGGCATGCATGTTAATGTTGTTGAGGACATGTACCCACAAAACTAGTACTACTGCCATACTGTTATATTATCAGCACTCTATGTCGTCTATGTCTATGAACTACTCTAATTAATATTACTCCATGTGGAGTAGCATATATCTAAGGAGACAGGGATTTAAGGGAGTTCACAGCGAGAATTAAAGGAACAAGGACGTCCGGTTCATGTCAGTATATCATCACTGTAGTGTGTAGTGGTCTCCCACACCCCTACGAGCTCATGAGGTATATATTCACTCCCTAATACAGGTTTTACTTTTCACCCCCATCGACGGTTGAGATCATTCCATCAAATCAAATTTTTATATTTGAAAACTTCCTTGTTTGGACCATCAACTTGTCCAAGTCATAAGCCCCACGCCAAAACTAAACTAAAAAAAAAAACAGAAGAAAGAAGAAAAAGGAGGAGAAGAATAGAGAGGAGGTTTCAGCTTCCAAGCTAAATAACAGTAACAGGAGGGACAGCGAATAGCCGACCCGATTACATTAAGAGAGCCAGAGAGTATATGCCACGTGTAAATGTCGGCCACCCTAACGACAATTCAACCCAACGAGTCTGTCGATATTCCCCTCTGTTCTCTCTCTCTTTCTCTTTCCATCCCCTATTTAAGCCTAAGGTGGCGGCCCTCTCTCTCTCTCTTTCTCTGTTTCTCTAATTTTATCAGACGAACGCTGCAATGGGCAAGATTACCAACTCTTCATCTTCATCAATTGATAGCAGCAATCACCCGTCTATTTCCTCTGCAACTTCTTCTCTTCCTCAACCCAAGAGAGACCTCAGTACCGATCTAAGACTTGGACTCAGCATTTCAACCTCTCAACCTGATGACTCATCATCCAATTCAAGGTTAGATTCAACAAACTCAAACCCTTCTACTATTTTTCCTTCTTTTTCAAGCTTTGTACTAATACCCATTTCACTTCTTTCTTTCTTTCTCTCTTTTGATCTATAACGGTGCTGGAATTTCAATTAGAACCAAAACCCATCAGTCATGATCTCATTCAATCAATCATTCTTATTCATTCCTTCTACTTCTTTATTCCCTTGTTTTCCGGCGCTTCATTCCCCTATAAGTTGCTGCACCTGATTTTTCTTTTTTCACCTTTTTCTCTTCTGCTAGAAATTCTTCTAATATTATTCAGTTTTGCACATATGATTTCATTCTAAATTCTACTGCGGCATCCTCTTATTTATTTATTGGATAACAGGGAGCAACCATCCGATTGGCCATCGCTTAAACCTCTCCTGCGGTGTACGATTGCAGAGAAAGGAAATAACCGGCAACACCCCACATTGTTCGTCAAGGTCTACATGGAAGGAATTCCGATTGGAAGGAAATTGGATCTGTTTGCTCACAATAATTATGATAGCCTAGTCAGAACTCTTAGCCAAATGTTCAGGACGACCATCCTCTGTAAGTGAAGATCAGTGAGACTGAGACATGGATAAAGAGATTAAAGATCTGAGTTTGGATTGATTCTATGACTCAATCTAATCTAATTATTTGTTTATCACACTGCAGAATACAAAACATTTATGCGATTTTTTCTGATAGTTAATCTTAATTATATTAATCCCTATGGTTTAATTTAAAAAGTAATTAAGGATTCCTCTACGTTCTTAATTTTAATTTCGAGATTAAATTCTTGATACAGGCCCTGATATCGATGAGGTTCTTTCAGGCAATGATCACGTGTTAACCTACGAAGATAAGGAAGGAGATTGGATGATGGTGGGAGATGTTCCTTGGGAGTAAGTTCAACCTCTTCACCTTCTTGGTCTGTTTCTCTGGTTTTCAGTACTCTAAATCTAATTAAATCTAATATTTATTCAATTGGCTCTTCTTTTCCTTTACCAGGATGTTCTTGACCACTGTGAAGAGACTGAAGATCACTAGGGCAAACCAATGTTAATGTTCATAAGCGTCATCCACCATCTCCTCTCTTTTTTTCTCTCTCTCTATACATTTTTGTCTTCATGGGTGATACCCGAGATAAACCAAACTAGGAATTTGTTGAATTACAGAATAGATGTACAGGCAATATACATACCAAAATGATGATCAAGTAATAAATATAGCTTTTTAATTTATCTTTCTCCTTTGGCTATTCAATTTCAATATAATTTAATTAAGGGTCGAATACCAGAGTCGTCAAATGTGAGATATAGAAAGAAAGCAAAGCTGAAGCCTGTAATTAACCTATAGTTTGATAATGAAGATGGGTAGTAGCTAGCTTTCATATTTCTCAGTCCTTTTTCTTTCAATTCTTCTTTTGCTTTGTTAAGTGGATGTGGTCCTCCTTAATGCTCGTTAAATAATGGATTTGGATGCTAATTAGAAGACAAACTTTAGACATAGTTGCGTAAGCGTGTGCACTGATATAAATATATAGTCAAATACAAAAGACTTCCTTGTGATCAGCACACGGTGCTGATCAGTAGTTGTAGATTAGTATCTTCCTAGAGCACCCACACCCAAGAAGATGTTTGCTTGAACATTAAATCTGTGCTAGCTCTAGCCCCAGTGCTCATTGAACGTGCGTATCACAAAATAAAAGGTGCCTTGACTGCCTTCGTACTGAGGAAATGCGAAGAAATCCGCATGCTTACATCAACTATCAACTATCAAATCCAATCCTAGCTAAGCTACGTTAGGTAGTGACTTTTATCAAACAGCTCTGGTAGATATATATTGCTAATTAAACTATTCCACCTGGCAACTTCATCAAGAGCAAATTAATTAACAACCCCCTTAGGTCTATGCTTATTGCTGCTGTAATCTATACTATGTTATAAAGCGATTAGGTCCCATGTTACTAGACTTCTCCTTCTCCCATTTCTTCTTTTCTCTTCTCTCCTTTCTCCCTTGCCCCTTTCTAGCCTTTTCATGTAGCCATGTGGCAGCCCTCTCTTCTACACTAGAGGGCCACTCCAAATCTCTCTCTCATGTATTCAATCACTTAGCCAACCCCCTCCCACCTAAAATTCTTCCTAAAACACATCTTAATCTATATTGCCACGTGACATCCCTCTCTTCTTCACTAGAGTTCCACTCCAAGTCTCTTTCTCTGATGTTACCAATCAGCTCAACCCCCTCCTAAAATTTCTCCTAAAGCATCTTTTAATTTATATTATAAATCATCTAAAAATAAAAAAAAATGTGGGCAAATTAATTAATTAAAGTAATTTGGGTAGTTAAATTAATTTGTGAAGTATTTTTTATATTTTCAATAATTACTGATATTATTGAATATTATTTAGTAAATGTCAACACCTAAACTATAATTTTTCATAATTATGGTAAATTGAAAATTTTAATTACTAAGAATTACTTTTTGAAAATTAATTATTGAAATCAATAACTACAAAAAAATAATAATTAATTATAGTATTAATAAATACAAATTTAATAATTAAAAATTATCAATAATTTTTAGCAATAAGTAGTTATTGATATTATCAGTAATTTTGACCAATTTATTAATATTTAATGATATTATCAAACAATAATTAAAAAATTCACTAATTTTTTAGTGCAAAATTAATTTCAATAGATATAAAATTATTTTTATATTTTCAGTAATTTTGATATTTACTATAATTTAATTTTGAGCAATAATTAGTGATTTTTTTAATTTAGTGAAACTTAAATTATAAAACTTCCAATTTTACAAATAAATAATTGGAAAATTTTAATTATTTCCATAAGTATTGGATACTACATTTATAATTATCATAATTAATGGAACTATATTTATGGGTTTGGGGAGGTGTTATGGGTTTAAGGGGACGATCCCCAGGGTAGGAATGGCAATGGGCAGGTTTGGGGCAAGGATCATACTCTCCATCCCGACCTCGAGTTTTAAATTAATCCATGTCAAAAATTTTAGCCTACATCCCCAATCCTCGATAGAGAGGGCTTCCCTATCAAGTACCTGAATCCCTTGAATTTTTTGATTAAAAGTTTGTTTTTAGAAAGATATTTATTTAAAACAAAGGAAAAATTAAAATGCAAATAATATTTTAAATATATTTTGATATATATAATAAAATAATATTATAAATAACATAAATAATATTATATATTTAATATATATATGCACATATACGCAGATATTTAATATAAATAATTGGGGTTGGGGTGGGGTAGGAATGGCAATGGGTGGGTTTGGGGTGGGGCTTATACTCCACATCCCGACCTCGAGTTGTAAATTAATCCCTATCAAAAATTTTAGCTTGCATCCCTATCAGAAACGTGAATCCCCTGAACTTTTTTACTAAAAGTTTGTTTTTATAAAGGTATTTATTTAAAACAAAGAAAACATTAAAATGCAAATAATATTTTAAATATATTTTGATATATATATATAATATAAATAATATTATATATTTAATATAATATATATACATATATATTTAATATAAATAATCAGGGTTAGGACATGGTGTGGACTTCACTCCCCATCCCCAATTAAGTATTCCTATTAATTCCATCCCCACCCTGTCCCCGTTAAGACAATCTCCATCCCATCCCCCACCTGATCGGAGAGGCCAGGTACTTGGTAGGGATGGAGAAAATTGCCATCCCTACCCATGGATTGTGTAGCTCCATAGAACAATAAATTTTAAGTCCAATTCTATGCACCGCACAGGGCCGCTGGTATTAATATATATTGACATGGCTCATTTCAAAAGATGCTCAAAGAATGTATTCGTTAGCAAATCACATGCATGAAGACCCATGGGTTGGTACTTTGAGCTTTTAAATGCACCCCAATTCTTAATTTCAATCAAAACTTTATTTTACAATATTTCAACTCTCAAGCTTATAAACTTGGGCAGATCCTCGTTGCCCAATGTCTCTCTTTTCACATCTCATTCGTGTAATAGACTCTGGCCCATGGGCTAACAACTTTGCCATCCAAAACCATTGCTCCATGATCTGGTCGATCACTCCAGACTTTGTAAGGTCAGCATGATGAGATGTAGCTTTTGATTTGATGAATGGAATTTGTCTTAGGGCTAAAAAAAGAAAATGGGCAGATCTCCACTTACGTACTCGGAAAGGTGGCCAGGCAAACTGGTCCAATACCAATGGCAATATATAGCTTTAATTTGCTTTATAAAGAGTTAGAGACAGACCATATCACATCTAGCATGGATATGCTGAACCTACCGAAACATAGTCCTCAGCTTTCTAGGTCAAAAGTTAATTTCACGCACTCCATCAAGGATCAGACTATAATTTGGTTCACATGGTGGCCAGTGAATTTAATTAATTTATTCACTTTTATGCCTTTCACACTTATGGATCGTTTTGGTACTCAAGCTACGACTTTTGGGGATTATTATTTATTGATTGGAGTTTACAACCATATATATACCTGAATTCCCCAAACTTCAAAGCGGGGGATGACTTCATTCATATTCTTTCTAGAATGTTCACATGGACACAAAATATATTTTGTTGATTCAGGTGGAATTCAATTCTATCTCCATTTCAAGCCCATCACAAAAACAGTAATGTTTGACGAAAGGTAAACGTGTATGTTTTTGTTTTTCTTGTTTCTAAAATATATCACACCATAAAAAAAAATATATATATATATATATATATATATATATATATATATTTGAATATATGGTTTTTTTCAAATAAAATAAAACATTATAATTTAATTCAGAAAATATTATTATTTGTAAAATTAGAAAAAAGAAAAAAAATTAGCTTTTAAAAACAAAGACATGCATGCTTTCACTCCCATAAAAGGCTAATATAGGATAGATACTATATAAACTCTCTCTCTCTCAAAATTTATGGTCTTATACTAATCAGCCATGAAGAAATAAGTGCAATGATTTGGTTCTAGGGCCTTTCCTACCTAGCTACCAATTATGACCACTAGCTAGGGGATGGTTTGTATGGTGGTGTTGTGTTGTGATTGTGTTTTGAATTTATCATACCAATTGTTATTTCTATCTAAAACATTAAATATGATATTTCTCCCATACATACATTTTTCTAGTTGAAATGATATTTGATGGTGCACAATCTAGATACTCTTAGTTAGAAGACGATCCAAACTTTAATTGTGCGACGAGTTGGACCAATCTGCAAAATAGTGGATCAGAGAACCTGAGATAGCTAACCCAGCGAGGTCGCTCCGATGCTTAAGTCAGTATTATACTGCGAATGTGAGTTGAATACTTGAGTGTTTGAGTGCTAGTGAGTAAAATAATCACGCGTACCTTTGCCTTAAGGTTTCGTGTCCTTATATAATGGAGTAGTCATGGGCCTTACGAAAGAGCTCTGGGATCTCCGGGCTATGTAGATAAGGTTTGTTCCATTTTTTAAGGAGAGCAATATGTTGATAAGGTTTATCGTTTACCTCCGATTCAGGCGGAGCTAGGACGTGTCTCATCGTGATCCCGAGAAATTCGGGGTCCGTTGGGGAGGCCTTTGGAGTCGGTTATGTGGCGTTTCGGCTTATTAACTCTAAACTAGCACTTCGATTCTTTAGTCCCGAATTGGAATGGGTATCGAGGTGTCTCTATGCCAAGGTGGTCTTTTAGGCCGAGGTGACTGGATACTCGAGCTCCGAATGTTGTGAAATGGGTTCGTTAGGATGAGTTGTCACCCCTCGAGCAGATCGCGTCTACGTGTCCCCTTCTTACTAGGTCGTGCCAAATCACCCGTCATCAATTGCCCCCCACTCCTTGTGCCAAGGGTCCTAACCCGGTGCGGGGAGTTCATGACAAGTCCAGGTGGATTTGGCACAAAGTCTAGACAATTTGAAGGGCAAACTGTTGGTCGGGCTTGTTCAACCATCTGGCTCAACCATGAAATGACCCAGGTCGCATCTCGGGTACGTGCGGACGTCACACTATTTATAAACTCCGCGAACGCCAAAGGGCAAGCTCAACCGATTTCCTCCTCGGGTAGCGTGCAGTCGGTTTTCATGGGAGTTGTTGGATCGTACAGGTCTCAATTGTTGAATGCCGAATGTGGTGGACTATAAATAGAGGGTGGAAGGGCCCATTACCTTCGCCATAAATCGTGTAATTGAGCTCTCCTGAGATCGCGTCAAAGT